TTTGTGGTAATTGAAGAGGACATCGTGGGCTTTCCAACGGTATCCGAAATAGGCGATTTTGGTGGTCAGAAGTTGCCGAATAATTGCCTCAAACTTGGCCAAAAAAATCTGAAAATTCAGTGACCATTTTGAAAGAAATTTCAAGTTTCAGTGACCGTTTCTGAAACTTTAAAACTTCAGTGACCGTTTTGAAATTTTCAGGTAATTTCAGTGACCATTTGTGAAATTAACCCAAATAAATTTATTAAATATTAAAATATAATATTAATATACATTAATTATTTTTACCCATGCCACCTCACCTACCCCATCATATCACCCCATTACACTACCTTCCCTCTATCTCTCCACCGGAGACAACCATCGGCTCCAGTGCCGCTCCGACAACTGTTGCGACGGCAGCTCCTGTGACAGTTGCAGCGATTGCTCCGACGACTTAAAAATTTTCAGAAAATTAAAAATTGAAAATCACACTCCCACCCCATGGATCCACCTACCACCACCCCCATTCGCTGATACGTGTCATCCGTGACTAATTATGACCAAATTTGTATTGAGTGTAACTGTCTTTGACCAAGTTAATCTCAAGTCATAAACGGTCACAATCAATACAAAATTGGTCACAAACAGTCACGACAACCACCAACATACCGCACAACCGCCACCACATGAAGATCCAATGCTTGTAGCTGCAACCAGCATATCGTACCACCGCATATAACACTACTCACCACCAATATAACTAACTAACTAACAACAACAACAACAACAAAACTACACCACAGACCAGGAAATCACAAACACCATTTGTAAAACACCAATTACCATCACAACTGGCTAAACAACAAATCTGATGAAATAACCATTCACCACATCTGATCAAACAATCGCCTACACCACCACATCAAACAATAGATCTGATCAATACAAGTATACAACCACCCACTAAATCAATCTCAAATATTTTTCTTTCACTTTTACACGAATTTATCAATTCAAACCTTAAATTCTCAAGGGTAGAGATGAAGAAGACAGTTGAGCGAGAACAACTTACCCTTTTAGCACCGTCAACAAGATATTGCTCAACAAAAATGTAAAACTGAACATTTCCTGCCAGCAATAGCTGTTGACGACGCTACGAACAGCTATCGCTTCAGTTGCGACGACGAAGCAAGGCGGCACTGCTCGTAGTAACAGCGACGCCTTACTGTGCCATTGCCCCGCTCGTCGTCGCCACGTGTGGTGTTTGCGCGACACCGTCATAAGGGAGCTGCTTACGTCACGATGGTGGCGATGATAACTTGGCTTCGATGGCGGGGGGTAGTGGTGGATATGGTGTGTGGTTAATAGAGAAAGAGGGTAGAGTGAAGAAAGAGAAGATGCAGAGATTGAAGGGAGAGAAATGAATTGTGGAAAGAGATGATGCAGACATTGAAGAGATAGAAATGAATTGGGAAAAGAGATGATGTAGACATTGAAGAAAGAGAAATGAATTGGGAAAAAAGAGAAATAAATTGGGGAAAGATGTCAGAAATTGGAATTTGGGGTGGGGTGGATTGTTTGTTATAATAAATATGTATTAACTAATTTATTAAATTTATATTAACACCTGATTAGTGAATTTTAAACTTCACCCTCCTTGTTTTTGAATTCTATATTTGAGATATAGGATTTTGGGTAATTTTCTCTTATAAAATCATCTTATTCTGCCAAGCACAAATTTGACGTTCCTAATATTGTAAAGAAACTAAACGCGTCAAAATGAAAGGTCCGGATACAAATTACACCAATATTTCTCAATATTAAGAGATTCAGACACCAACTAGAGATTTAAATTAAAAACTACACTAACTCGATATTCAAATAAAATTTGTACCTTTTAATAAAAATTAAATAAAAAAATTACCCTCCTCTATATTTCAAGAACAAATAGGTCTTTCCAAAAATGCTCAGAATCCTCGAAATTTGGCAGATAAATGGTGAAAAGGCTGAAAAGAATATTTCCTACGTACATCATCCTCTACTTTCATTGAGGACTTCTATTCGCAGTAGATGTATCGTAATTATTGTCATCATAAATTTCATTAGGATTGCATTATTTTGGAACCTTTTTTTTTTTTTTTTTCAATCAAAGGGTGTAAAGCCATGAAAAATTTAATTGTAGATAAAAACTCAGTTTTATTTACCTATTTAACAAAGTATTTGATGTTTGCACGTAACTTATGGCTAATTCATTCATTTAGCCTATTCCAACTTATTTCCTCATTAATAGAAAAAATATGACCCTTTTTTTCAAAGTTGGTGGATCCCAACAAGACACAAATGGTCAAAAATGGTAGGCAAGGCCACTGTCACAACGATTATTTTTCTTCTACTAATGAGCAACAAACTGAGGCTTAATGATCACAAATAACAAAATCGTAATTACTCAAATGATACCTTCTTAAAAAACATGTTCAAGTGACAAGTATGCAAGACCTCTATCTATTCCATTGTTCAATTCCAAGTACCAAACATGCTCTAACCTATCCATATTCTCGTTACTCTCCTAAAACAGAAGTACATATTTAACATGTAAATATAGAAGCAGAAATGAACAAGAAAATCTCTTAGTCATGATTCCACAAGGAATTAAACTTAAAAGATAAGAAGCCCAAACAAAAATAGAACCCCACGTAAACTCCGTCGAATTAAATGTTCTTAAAATAAATTCACATCGTGCAAAATCAAATCACAAATACATCTAATATTGATTGAAAACATTACTGAATTTCAACTTTAGCCTCTTGCACTCCACAATTCACTTGAAATAGTTAAATACAACAAGATAAAGGAACAACTTACAATAAATATCGACTGCTCTCTATTACATTATACAATAATGCATAGCATTTTTTTCATTTTAAATATTTATTTGTTCACAGCGTGTAACATTTTCTAAATGCAGTATGTAGGAACACTAGCAGGACGATAAACAAAGGGTTTAACAGCATGCGAAAAGCCTGATGGATGATTGTAACTGAACTTGACACCGGTACTACCATCTCCGAGATGTGTGCAGTGATCATGGAAACTGCTGATCGGTCTTGCTAAACATGCATCCCACTGGTCACTCGCTGGCATCGTCTCTGCAACTGTGTATATCCCATTTGAATTAGTGAACGCCTGATAGTTTAGAACTTCGCCTGACTTGGTTATGCAAAGCACAGCCACCTCGGCACCTGCTACAAAAAATACTTTACTTCTCTACAAACAAAGTAAAAATACAAAAGTTGCACAAGGAAACAAGTAACAACACCTATAATTTTCACATTTGACCAGATCACAATTCACAAGAGTATATATTCCTGTAAACATGATGGTAAAACACTAAGAATGCTTGAAAATTAACTAGCCAACTGAAGAAAAGAAATTTCTCCTTAATTAAAAAAGACTTTAGTATACAACCAGCCACGTTAGCTTTATCTTTTATTTTTTATATTTCTTAAGGAATGTCTATGAATTTCACATTAGACTAAATTTCCTTTAGAAATCTCTACTAACCTTTACTTCTTTTTGATCGGGTGTGAAGTTCCATGTTAGGCAGAGATGGTGTCAGGTGGAGGTGTCAAATCCTCTATCATGCCCATTGTCACATATTAGAAAACCCATATCAGTCCAGAAGGTAGGTAGACGCACGTGGGAATTGTCAGACGCTGAGAAGGTTTTAAGGGCTTATACAACTGGGCCCATGGTCTGACATGAGGTCGAGATCTGACAAGATGCCAAGGAAGCGCTATGTGTATCCTACGGTTAGCATTTGCAGTCATCTCGGCAATTGGGCTCTCGACACGGTAGCCTGCTCGGAAACCTATAAAGGTATAGGTCCACTGCTTAGCCAGCTTATGGGTGCCGTGTTTGCCACACGCATGCCTATAATATATTTGTATAAGAGCCTTATTGTCTTGATTGTTAAAAAAAAAAAAACCAACTAAGAAAATATTTGAGCTCCCATACCCAACTAAATACGTCCCTCCAATGGGTGTACCACGGTAAGCAAAGTGCCCACGTGATGTGTGATTCATTCTTTCTTCATTCATTCTAATGGGACATGGGATGAATGTGAAAACTGTGGTTAGTCATGTATTGTTCAAATGAACCAACCATTTGGAAACACAGAATTGGTATGCATGTATTAAGACACGTGAGTAGTATTTATAAACATATCACTTGGTATAGGCACTTGTAATGGTAAGTGATAGGAGTCGACATTCTTTCTCAAATGAGCAACTTCGTGAATAGACTTTCTAGTTCCTTCAAATCCCGAAGTCATTGACTGGGTATTCAGGTAATTATGCATTCATCCCTCATAAATCAGGCAGTTAATGTAAAGAGAACCTATACGAGTCGATAAAGATTTGTTCTGTTTATCTGCAGGTCTGACCATAAAATTGCAACAAGATAGAATTGAGGACTATATTTGGTCTATTGCTATCCCAGGTATTCAATGTTAATAGAGTTTCTTTGAAAATTCAGATAATCTAAAAGCAGCAGGAAAGTTCCCTCCCTAATGTGATTCATCAAGAATTATTGAAGTCGACTTGTATATTATTTAGTCCTTGTGATAGAATATTCTACAAGTGCAGAAAATTAATACAAAATGAGAAGGGCTGCAGTTTACGCTCACAATTATCCTGGTGGGTTTAAGTTAAATTATATTGTATACCTGTAAATTGAATATCTAATTGGTATAGTTGCTATCTTTCCAAGTCTCAAATAATCCTCCCTAAATAGTTCTGGGATTTATAACCTGGACATAAAGAAATCAAATGAAAGAACTGAAAGTGGTTATTCATCAGCCATGCAATCAACTTCAAAAGGGCTAGGATAGTTTATCATTCACAATCTAAGAATTGGAGAAGCTGGAAATTTAGTTTGAATCTGAATCATAACACCTATCGTCAGAGGGGACGAATTCCGTTCAATCAATGTCTCCAAAATGAATTGGAACGAGAACAAATGGAAATTTCTGCTTCTTCTGTTGGGAGCTTTATGCATGCAGCCTGCAGGGGCCTGAACTAGGCACTGTACTGGGGTTTATAATAAAATGTTAGGAAAAATATCAAATTAACCCTCGCTTAGAGTCCACCCCCCCAACAGAAAAAAGGGACAACGTTGAAATTGATTTTCATGGACCAATCAGAATTGGCTCCCAGGCAATCGCATTGATAGTTTCTTGAACCTAATGGTGGCTCACTTTTTCTGTGTAATGAGGATTTTTTATTCTGATTGTAACTACAGCCCTTTATTTAAGTTCTGTTTAAAGTTTTTATCTTTTCTTCTTGTTGCTTGTCCGAGTGGGATCAAACCATCCCTCGTGAGTGTGGCCGAGCTCAATAAAAGATATTCAGGAATAAACAGTTCAATAGCTATTAACTAGTATTCTAAAAGTTCCTGCAATTTTCCGCATCAACAAAGGAAATTGAGCAAATAATAATCGACAATCAACTAAATCCAGTCATCACAGGGAACCATCAAGCACAATCTTTAAGCCCTTTTCCAATGAACATCAAATTGATCAAAATACCAACCCCAGAAAAACAAGTTGATAAAACTGGTAAAGGGAAACAAAAGGCAGTGGACTTGCCCGATAAAACATGATCTTCAGGGCCGATAGAAGAATCCCCACACACATCACACACCACTCTGCCATGGATTTCACCTGTCCACGCTTTCACTCCATTTGACATCAAGATCGTGGCCGTGATTGTCAAGTAAACTGCCGCCAATACGTTCCTCAACTCGGAATCCATTCGTGTGTGGAAGGAAATTGAAGCTATGCTCACGCGTATTCTTTCGTGACCTTTATGAAAAATGGTTGGGGTGCTAAAATCGGATGTCAGTAACTGAAAATCAGGAGTCGCATTTATCTCCCCTGTCGGCAATAACTTGACTTTATTTGCTAGACTGGGTTAATTTCAGCTACTTTGGGATCCGTTTGATTGCAAGAATGAAATTTGAATAGAAAAAAATTGAATTTCAGAAAATTGAATTGTCAATAATTTGTTTTATAGAAAATTGTCAATTTTTTGTGTTTGATTTATATAATTTTTCATCTGAAAAATATTGAAATTTTGGATCTTTTGGTATTCGTTCGACTTTGTTTTCAATGAAAATTGTCCGGATATAATTTTTTTCAAAAAAAATAAAATTGCCTAGAAAACTAAAAACCACCAAATCTATGGGAAAACCAATTTAAGGAAAAATGTGGAAAATGGGGTCACGTGAGATATAAGTTGGAAAACCAATTGCCTATAAAATTTTTCCTATCAAACAGCCTAATAAAAGATGAAAAATGAAAAATAATTTTCAACCTTCATGAAATTTTTTTCCTATCGAACAGGCCTTATTGAACTTTGAAAATAATTTCAAAACTTCCATAAAAGTTATTTCCCTATTAGAATATTCACTGAAGTTCGAAGTGCTTACAAATTTTGTCATCGGATAACATCATCGAGATAAAAAGGTCAGAGTTAAAATTCACCATGGTTGAATTAATAAAATTGCCGCCTAGATGAAACTGTCCCTCCAAAACAAATCGTTCAACCCTAACTAATGTTTTCTTCTTTCATTTAATTCCCAAACTTCAACCTCCAAATCAATTCTAATGATATATAAATCCTAAAGCACATTTTTCTTTTCAATCGAAGGGAATTTCGAACGGATGTTATACATAATCTATAGTTCGATGGTGAAATGACGACGTCTAGTAATTAGCATGTCGAATATAATGTTTTCTTATGAAGATCTCGAGTTCGTTATAATACAAAACATCTTGCTATAATTTTGTCAATTGTTCTAGTTGATAAGAGTTATCGTGTTATTGATGGAGAAATGACATTATTGTTGATTTAGATATGATTTTTGAACACATGAAGTGAATTTGATGCTTGATATTGTTGCTATTCTGAATTTGATGCCATTAAATTATCAATCCTGCCAAATTTTACATCGCCTGATTATCTAGAAGTCAGATTCTAATTGATACCCATAAATTTATTCAAAATGGTCTAAAAGAAAACAATTCTAAACGTTCCGGAGATAGACTTTAATTCATTTCAAGTCTAAAAATTTCCCTTTGGGTTTGAAATAAAAGTTCTCGTTCTTTGCCTTTCTTCACAAAGTGCACGGCAACTTTCTCGTCACTTACAAATTACCTATATAGAAATAACGTATAGAAGTGAATCCCGCACAAAAACTCTATAAGAGTCTTTTCAAAAATAACTAAAAATTGAAAAGGTTTGTTGCCTTGAACAAAGTTTGAGCTCACTCTCATTAACCACGTACAATGCAGATTTTATAAAATTTGGTATGACTAGCTTGGCTTATAACATTCTTAATTCATTAAGGTTCAATAATAGGTGTTGTCTCAATTCTAACCCATTAATTTGGAACAATAATGTCCACGAGATACATAGGTCAAGTGCATATTAATATTGAGAAAATATATTTCTATATATTTAGAATTTAAATTATTTATAAATACTTTAAAACATGTTTTAAAAGATTGAGATGGAGGTGAGTCTATTTTTAAGAAGGTATATAATGGAGAGAACTTTTTTCATTTTCTCACTTCCTATTCCATTTTAGGTAAATTCATCTAAAACTGTCCCCCAGCACAAGGCCACAACTGACAAGAGTTGACGATGAAGGCTAAAACTTAGAATCCCTATTTTTCAGCTTTCAATTCCTTTCCCTCTTCCTCACCCCCGCCCTTTCCCTTCTACAAAGCATGTACTCTGCGGCTGCCACTCCTCACTAAGATTCGGAGACAAAGAGTAAAACCCCCTGGATAACCCTTTTATGCACTGTGACCACAAACAGTGAAAGTAATTGACCTGTTGTTTAAGAAATATTATCGAAACGGCCGCTTCTTGTAGTCTCATTAGCAGCACTAGCAATAAGCTAGGAATAGTTGCAGAAACCATGGCTAAAATGGGTTTCTCTACTCAGACAAACCCCTTTAGGCCTTCCTCTTTTTCTCCCCCTTATTTCTGGTTCTGTCGTTCTTGTACTAATGTTTACTCCTCGTCTTCTCATACTGTTTGGGCTAGTTCTAGAAAGACCCTCCGAAGGTACAGTTTCTTTCAAATTCACTGGTTTTCTACTCTCTGGGATTTCGTTACATTTTATCATATGGGTTTTTGATTCTTCGCGTTCTTCATTAATTTTTTTATTTTTTTTATTTTTGTTGGGTTATTGGGGATGGACCCGGAAATTTCCCCCCTTTATTTTTATTGTCATTTCCAACTGTCTTGCGGAATTATAAGGACATTTTATATATTATTTTGTGGCAGTTATTGAAAAAATAATATCTTTAGAACCCGCATGAGTTTTCCTTCAAGTTTTTGTTGTTGAAGAAAAATGGAAGAGGAAAGGGATGAACATGTTAATGTCAGGAGCTTCCTCTACTGGCAGTTAATATTGAAATTTGAAATAGCAGTCACATTGATAATGTTTTGGAAGCTTGTAATGTAGCTGCATTGGGATTGAGCTGGTTTTAGAGGGTTTAGACTGAATAATAAGCTGTCATCTATGTTTTAACATTTTATGTAATAATAATTTGCAGGCTGGAGGCTTTCAAACTCGAAACTGCAAGTGGTTCCTTATCTACTGGAACTCTTAATGTTGATTCCCATCAGTTAAAACGTAGATCGAGTTATAGTACCATGCAACATGATGAAAGTCAAATTCACTATCAACGAAAATATACTTACCCATCTCCTCACTCGAAGATGCCTTCTGTGCATAGAGGGGGAAAAAGGAGAGAGGACGTAAATGGAGAAGTTTGTGGCAGCATCGTGACTCTTGGACATACTGCTGAAGCTTGGGGTAAAGCAGCTGAAGAATGTAAAAAGAACAAGGCATTATTTGCACATAAAGAAAACATTGCTGTGAATCTTAAAACCCTTCCAGAAGAAGATACTGCAAAAGGAGCTAAGTTGGGAGTCATAGAATATTCATCTGAGTGTATCAAAAGAGTAAGATACTAATTAAACCAAGAATGCACAAGTTATTGTTTGCATTATTGAGTATCCTTAGCCCCTGTTTGGTTCGGCTAAAAATTTGAATCAAAATCTTAGTCAAAGTCAACAATTAATTTTAGCTACACATTACATGGGACTCACAAATTTTCAATCACATTTCATCAACTTTTATCGAAATCTACTAAAAATATGATTTTTATCTAAATCAAACAGGGACTTAATGTCTATATAGAAGCATTGCAATTAAGACTTTTCTTTTGGCAGTATAAAGGAGATGGAAGTAGACCAATCAGTAAAGAAATGGAATACAGTGTCAATGTAGGACAAGTCAGGCCGCATGTTTCCCATAATCCTTCCTTTGCCGATAATATTAGAAGTAACAAAGAATACATGAATAATGGTGATGGTTCAATGTCGTTGCAAAATCGATCATTGTTGGAAGGTGCTCTGCCTAATAGGTTATTGTTGGAGGATAATGTGGAACATGTGAAAGATGAAGTTTCCAAAATCGGCAACGAACTTGGGATCGATGAAATAAAAAATAATGCAGGTTATCATAAATGTATTGTCGCTGACATTGCTAACGGAACTCAGATCGAGCAAATTACTCGCGAATCCAAGAATACTTTTGAGAGGCTTCGTACCGTATACGACAAGGTTCTTGTAGTTGATAGCATTTCCGCAGCTAGGGAAGTGGTTGGTTTGCTCACAAATCAATACAGGCATCTTGTTCACGCATGTGATACTGAGGCACGTATCCACTGGATTCATTTACATTTCTTTTCCATTTGAATACAGAGGAAATAGAGATTTTTTTTTAAAGTTGAAATTACTTCAGTCACAAATGTAAACACTTTATTTTGTTTAATGTTATTGATAATACTAAGCAGGTAGCGAAGATTGATGTCAAGGAGGAGACACCTGTGGACCATGGAGAAATTATATGTTTTAGTATATATTCTGGTCCAGATGTCGATTTTGGCAATGGAAAATCTTGTGTCTGGGTGGATCTTCTTGATGGTGGTGGCAAGAATCTCATGGCCGAGTTTGCTCGATTTTTTGAGGACTCGTCCATTAAAAAAGTAAATGCTTTTTCTGATGTATCATTTTACGAAGGCACCTTCTATTGGTTGTCATTTTGACCTGCCTATATCGCAGTTTAAAAACTTAAGCAAGCATATCTAACCAAGATATAGTCAGGTAATTGGGTCTATATTGCACCATCAACCTAATAATTAGCTTCCTCATGCTTTTTGTAGGTGTGGCACAATTACAGCTTTGATAATCACATAGTAGAGAATTATGGGCTCAAAGTTTCTGGTTTTTTTGCCGATACAATGCACATGGCTCGGCTGTGGAATTCATCTAGGCGAACTGAGGGTGGGTATTCTTTAGAAGCACTTACAGGTGATCCCTTTGTCATGTCTAATGCTAAGCTGCGCCTTGGTGAAGAGATGATTGGTAAAGTATCAATGAAAACCATCTTTGGCAGGAAAAAATTGAAAAAAGATGGATCTGAGGGAAAAATAATGGTCATCCCGCCAGTTGAAGAGCTGCAAAGAGTTGAGCGAAAACTATGGATTTGTTATTCTGCTTTAGATTCAATGAGCACACTGAAGCTATATGAAAGTTTGAGGAGTAAACTGTCTAAAATGCCTTGGAATCTTGATGGAGTTGCGAAAGGATCAATGTTCAACTTCTATGAGAAATATTGGCGTCCATTTGGTGAGCTTCTAGTAAAAATGGAAACCGAGGGAATGTTGGTTGATCGTGCCTATCTTGCTGAGGTTGAAAAGGTGGCTAAAGCAGAACAGCAAGTTGCCGCTGATAGATTTCGCAAGTGGGCATCCAAACACTGCCCAGATGCTCAGTACATGAATGTGGGTAGTGATGCACAGTTGCGCCAATTCTTTTTTGGTGGTATTCAGAACAGGTATGAAACTGCTTCCCGTATCTTTAATTAATAGAATATGAGATGAGGGAGGTCGTGGAGCCCAATGAAGTATGCAATTTATGGACTCTAGTCATGTGAAAGTTGATAACAAAACCGCGTGCTTTAGCTCTTAAAATGAATTATCTCTTTATTATTGTATTTGGTATAGACTGACATAGTCACGAAATTCAGTGAGATTCATTTTGACAAAATGACAATCTAGTCCGGTGATTTATTGTTGTAATTTTGTGTCTGTTGTGCGAATGTGATCTCAATTCCTAAGATGGCTGTTGCCTTCTGCTCTACATCCTAATAATAGGATTCTCAACAAGAAGAAATTTTTGGGTTGGAGGGGCAACTGCCTCGGCAACTCCCACTCTTCACTACTGTCTGTCCATTATCTATGCTTAAATCAAAGGAATAATGTGTTTCTGATCCATAGGAGAAGGTGGAGTGACAGGTGGGACGAGCTTCAGAAAATTGGCCTAACTTTTGCACGAAATGACTGCAATATTTATTTTTATTTGCAATTAGATTTCGTTCTTTGTTTGCAAGAAAGTGATACAGGTAATAACCGAAGTAGCCAAGTGCTGCTTTCTTTTTTCTTTTAAAGGTTTGATTTTCTTGTTGATTGCAATACTGCTCAATATATTGGAATAGCCATGGTCACTGCCATGTAGTGACTTGTTCTTTTTTCATCATCTATCTACAGAAGAAATGCAAATGAGTTTCTTCCACTAGAGAAGGATTTCAAAATTCCGAACACAGACAAAATAATTGAAGAAGGCAAGAAGACTCCAACAAAATATCGCAAAATTACACTGCATAAGCCCCTTGATGTTAATATAGAGGCTGATGTTTACACTGCAAGTGGTTGGCCTTCTGTTAGTGGTGGTGTTTTAAAGAATCTTGCTGGGAAGGTTTCTGTTGATTATGACTTCATGGATGAAGAGAGTGTTGAAGAAGTTCCTAATGCAGGGGTTGGTGAAGCTTTCAAGAACCCTGATAAGTCTGATTATGGAGCAGCTTACACTGCATTTGGTGGTGGGCAGGCTGGAGTTGAGGCTTGCCATGCCATTGCTGCTTTATGTGAAGTTTGTTCAATAGACTCTTTGATATCCAACTTTATTCTACCCTTGCAGGTTATTTGCTACCTCAACTTTCTTGGCGACACGATTTAAAATCCTAAGTAACTTTCTATACTTGGAACTGTTGTGGGGAGACTCCTGTTTTGCTTTTTCTACATAATTTTATTAGCTTGCATTTGGTACTTGAAAATTTTCTAGTGAAACACGAAAGGCTTATTAGCCGATCTGCATTGGAAACAAAAAGAAAAGTCTTCATTCAGCCCATTAATATTTATTGATTTAGGAATGGAAAATATTATGGTACAAAATTGATTTCTTGTCTTTCAGTCAAGTAATTAAGATTCATTTTGATGTAGTACATTATAANTCGTAGAAGTTTTGATGTAGTATATCACAACTACAATTGATAGTTTTACTTTATTTAGGAATTTGTCTTTTTTAAATTATCTTTTCTAATTTCCTTTTCTAATTGTAATATGATTATTCTTAAATTTTATTTAGATTAGGATTAATTTATTTCCTTATTTTGGTTTCCTTGTATTAATAAGATTAGGGAATAATTTTGCCTAAAGAGTCATTGTACACTTTCATCACAATCAATCATAAATTAATACAAAGCAAGATTATTCCGATATAGTTCTTATTTTCAATTCTTATTACAAGAATTTTTAAATGCTTCAGCACCACATTTTCTAAAAATTCTCCTTGGAAAAATGCTCACTTTGGTTTAAAAATTTGAAGAAGATTGTCAGAAAGCACTTTTGACACTTTCAGGTTCTAGTTTTTTCTTCTTTTTTTCCTCAAATTTTCTCAATTATGTCCTCGATCTTTGCATGCATGAATGTCATTACGTGCTATGGGTAGTAACAATATGTGATGATTTCGCTCTGAAGTACTGTATTTGTGATCTAACTGCGGCAAGTATTTGTGAGGCTCGGTAATCTCAATTGTTTATGTTTTCCCTTGCGTAGCTCTGGTTTGCTTTGCAGAGATTCTTATCTCCAGATAGTTAATCCGATCGTATTATTATCAACAAGTGACCATCCTTGTGTTCATACTGAAAATTCTGCACATTTTTCTTTTCTATCTACCACATCTGCAACTATGGCAAAGATGTCCGGGTTCATATCTCATACCACCTTTCGTAATTTAGATAAGCATGTATATTTTTTCCCTGTCAGTTATTCAGGAAAAAAATGTATCGTTTTTTGCCATCTTAACTGATCTTGAGCACTATTGAGATTCTTAAGTGAGCTCAAAAAAATTTGCTTGTACTTCATGGAAGGATGTTATTGATATTTGTGATAGCTAATTTTTTCCGTAATTAACTTTATTCTTTCGAAATAAGAATACATCATTGGGAAAGAGAAAAATCTTGAGAGTGTGTGATATTTTAATCATATCTTCTACCTCAGGGTAATCATATATCAGGCAAGGATTGGCGAATCCATTGTTCACTGAATATTAACACAGAAACTGGTCGCTTGTCTGCCAGAAGACCGAATTTGCAGGTCTGTCGTATAATTTATGCAATCTTCTGAAGATCACATAGTTAACTATTCTGATACAGCTTTTATACTGATTTGTGATTGTACTTTTCAACGTTCTTCCTATTTCAATTTTGACTGTGATGATAAATCTGAGTACGAATCTAACACAAATATGAAAGTGTAACTTACAAATATAATTCTGTTTCATTTTGTCCTTCTCTTTTATAAACAAGTTTATGAACTCAATAAGGCGTTTCCCGTGCCTACATTTGGTTGATTCATGGAGCCTTTACTCGAAGCCCCCTCTTAGGAAATTATCATATTAAACAACATGAAGTTGATCCCCCTTTTCTAATTTCCATGCATAAATTCAAATGGATTTCTATGATGCCATGGTTTTAAGCCTAAGTCGTGACTCATTTACTCTCTCTCTGAAGTTTCATTTTGTAACTCGTTAACTCAATGACAAAATAATATAGAAAATCTCAGTCAGTTTTGTTATTGGGGAGTAAAATGCCTTCCTGTATCTGGCATGTTTCTGGTTAAAATCATATGGTCAAATATCTTTCAACTTCTCCAAGACACTTTCAGACCTTTACAGAAATGCATCTAGTCCCACAGCGTTAACACCTTTTATCTCTAAGAGGGCCTTCTTTGCCACCTGCAGAAAATAGGCTCTCTCTGTTCTTTCGATGTTAATTAACTTTTTTACACCAATATTTTTCTTACGACAATCTTATCAAAAAAAAAAACTTATCAAAAAATTTTTCTTACGACAATACTTTATAGTCTCAAGTAGTTAATTTTTTTTTAACAGATAAAAAAAGAAGTAATTAGTTTGTTTTATATAAACACTCGTGCTGCCAAAAAAATGAAAAGAAAATAAAATTATTAATGGTAGGAATATGTACAAATATGGAGGAAAAGATGTTCTTTAGAGCACATGAAACAATATCATGCAAAAAAATAAAATATAGCTGGAGACTGATTTAATTAAAGAGTTGCTGCCAGTCCGATTAATTATCTGCCAGAGTCTCACCACGTTAAGATACCCACAATAAAAATATAACAAGTCTATCCTAACTGCAATTCATGGTCATAGCATCTGGGACATTAAGGGCCAAGGTTGACTTTATGGCGTAAAGAGAGGGATTCTTTGGTTGATGATTTTATCGCCTCAATGTTCATATGTTCTTTGTGAGTTACACCTATACGGGTCTGAAAAGAGTACAATGTTTCAACTTTATATTTTATTTATTTTCTTTCAAGATAATGTTTAGTAGTGCTAATTATAATTTCTCCAAACCAGAACCAACCTGCTTTAGAGAAAGACCGGTATAAGATTCGTCAGGCATTTATAGCTGCACCTGACAACTCTCTGATAGTTGCTGATTATGGNTTCTTATGTGATTTTGTACGTGTATTGAACAAGTTTCTCTAATCAGTTGGAACTTAGGATTCTTGCACATCTTGCCGACTGTAAGAGCATGTTGGATGCTTTCAAAGCAGGTGGAGACTTCCATTCAAGGACTGCAATGAACATGTATCCGCACATTCGTGAAGCTGTTGAACAGAAGCACGTGCTTCTCGAGTGGCATCCTGAACCTGGTGAAGATAAGCCTCCAGCTCCTTTACTAAAGGTTTACTATGATAGCTTCCTCTTAGTCCTCTTAGTTTTATGGTGTAGTTTTCTTGAAATAGCAACAGTAATATAACAGCATCTTAATATGTTCTTTATTTAATCAGTTGGCTGGAGGCTAATATAAATCTGGGTTTCGTTGAAAAAAAATTAATGTGCTACATGTAAAAATGAAGACTATTGATAAGAATTGTAGTAGCATTAGTGATATTAGAAATCTTAGCACTTGTAGCAGCAGACGGTATAGTGATATTAGATGATGGAGATATACATCACAATCACATGATTTTTATGATGCATGATTTATTCTTTTCGAAGAAATAGAACTTGATAACATATACTACTTTAAATTATTAATAGAATTGTGCGTGTAGTAACTTGAGATTAGACACAAAAATCCACTTTTGGTTTCCACAAACTGATTCCTGAGGGACTATAAACATCAGTTGTCTAGTTCTCGCTAAGCTCACTAGTTAATTGTATAGTATAACCATCTTAACTGCATTAGGTTTAGTCAACTTTTCTAATTCTGAGGGGCGAGGCATGTGGTACATAGTTCCAATCGGCCATTGGATCCTTCGCCAGTTCACCTGAATGCTATTTCTAATATGACTCCCTAGTAGCAAGCTAAGCTATTGTTGTCTTCAGAGTAAATTTATGATTACCAAAATCTTTCAGAATTGCCTTGTTTAAATAAGCAAATCATATGTACTCTGATGGAATTTTAGGGCAATAAAGTTACAGATGACTAATGGTCTGTTTGCATATTTTCTGTTGCATAAAGGTCTTTTTTAAAAATGACCCTTCGAAAGGAATATCTTTTGAGGAATGAGGCTTTGGCAAGAGGAAATTCGGGAAGTCATTACATAGGCTTTTTATATTTTTTTATTTGTTGGTGTGGATGTAATTAAAGTTGGCTTCTGGATTCTTGTTCGAGAAATTTCCTCTACCTTACTTTCTGAAGACAAGCTACCTGGGCCCATAGTTTTCCAAAAGCCCTTGTTTATTACTCTAAACAACTTGGATGTTCCTTCTAATTTTTTTGCCAAACTTGTATCTGCCGACTTCCAAATGTTCCATTGAAACGTCACATATCACATACGAGGCTGTTTTATCCGGGGTATTTTTGATGATCTTCTTAAGCAATTGCCAAGAAAATTAAAATGGGGATCCAAGTCCTCATTTACTTGTAGAATGGAAAATGGAAACCGTATACGCAAATTTTACTTGTTTTTTGTTGTATTCAAGTGCTTCTGCCTCAATTGAAACCAATGTGATTTATTCTTTCAGGATGCTTTTGCTTCTGAAAGACGAAAAGCCAAGATGCTTAACTTTTCCATTGCATACGGGAAAACTACGGTGGGGCTTGCCCGTGATTGGAAGGCATGTCAGCTTTTTTCAACCTGACATAATAACAAATTCCATTCTTTGCAGTTGAAACACAGTTATTGATATGGATTCCGATTGCTATCACAAATTCTCAGGTTTCTATCAAGGAAGCCAAGGAAACAGTTGATCGCTGGTATAGTGATCGGCAAGAAGTATTGTCTTGGCAGGAAAAACGCAAAAAAGAAGCAGTTGTAAATGGGTGTGTTCACACATTGTTAGGACGGGCTCGCATGTTCCCATCTTTGAGAAATGCAACTCCATGGCACAAGAATCATATTGAACGGGCTGCCATCAATACCCCAGTGCAGGTCTTTTTTTCCTGCTGCCTCAACTTTTGAAGCTCCTCCCTCTTTGTTCTGTCCTTCCCACTGTATGGGCATCGTCTGACTTGAAAAGTTTTGACAGGGAAGTGCTGCTGATGTTGCAATGTGTGCTATGTTAGAGATATCAAAGAATGCACAACTGAAGGAGCTTGGATGGAGGCTTCTTTTGCAGGTGAGTTGTGTAGATCACTTCCTCTTACCCCAACCCTCAAAATATAATAAATTAATAAAATTAATAAACAATAAAAAGTGGTGTTCTTTTGGAACAATTTATTTCAAGAAATCAATTAACTGTTTTTGCCATTACATATTATGAGCCCACTATTATATTTATATTGTCTTTGCCTTCAATATGAAGTGTCTAGCTTGCTTTTTTTATGAAAATTTCCACAGATAAGCTAATCCGACCTGTGACCTTGTAAATAATCAGGTTTATTAATCACTGTGATTAAATCTATGTGATTTCTCTCTTCCCATGCGGGGCTTTTTTTTTCCCTTTGCACTTGTAATTAGGAATTTATTTTTAATGTACTTTCAAGCTTCTGAATTATGGTGTGGAAGTTGTGTTATTGCCAATGGCTGTCTCTTCTGTGTTCATGCAAAAGTGTCATCTTTCTAATGTTTTCGAAATGAGTTGATATCTCGTCTTGTTAGGTCACAAGATTTATCATGCTGAAATTTCAAGATTAACTTCTCTCTCTGGATAGGTTCACGACGAAGTGATACTGGAAGGGCCCACAGAGTCTGCTGAGGTCGCCAAGGCCATTGTGGTTGACTGCATGTCGAAACCTTTTGATGGAAAGAATATCCTTAACGTTGATTTATCTGTTGACGCCAAATGTGCGAAGAACTGGTATTCAGCCAAGTAGATAACAATTTTCATTTTTTTTATTACCTACAAACGAGTGAAATTTTGTTAATCCTCTCTACCCTCCTTGCGAACTTACATTCTTGTCGTCTGATGGTGGTACGAATGTAGATAGGGAAGGAAGATGGATATGGGGCGGTTCAGCATTTTGTAATTCAATTTGGGAATTTATAAATTAGTTTTTTGAGCTGTATATACACCAATCTTGTCACTTAGAGGGATGTGTTTGTATGATCAACATTGCTCGAATTCACTTGTGTTGAAATTGGTTTGGGGAGGAAAATAAGGAACAGCCTTTCCTTGTGGCCTTTCTTATTGCAACCTTATGAGAATGTCTTGCACGGACAAGAGATACATACAACGTTGCTGTTCTTGATCGTGATTTGCACCTGGATCACATCAGATAAGAGTGTCTCACATGGGCTATAGATGTGCATTGCAACAGAGCTTGTGTGGCTCACGCTTCATGAATATTCAAGTCATTTTTTATTTTTACATTTTGAAGGATATATAACGGTTGTATTATGTAAATCATTATTTAACTTCCATTATGTACGTATTCAACTAGATTCAAACGCAACAACACTACAAATATTGTGCACGTCTCGTTAGTATCTAATAAGTTGAAACCTAGTTTTCGAAAACACACGTTCTCCAATTAGTTTTCCAAATAGTGATCTTGTAAAGTCAATATCAAAGACATCCCTTGAATTTTATACTTATCAAATATATTTCCTCAAGTTTAGAATATCAAACTAGCCTCTCTTATTTCTAGTTTTAAATATTACATACATTCAATTACCACTTTTGGAGCAATTTTTATAAATTTTTAAACTAAAAAAAGATGTTAAAGATAAAAATATACTTTTTTTTATTATTCAAGTAATTTAGCTTAAAAATAGTACACATTAGCTCATTAAAATATTACATATCTTCAAAACTTATTATTATATGATGATTGTGTTATTTATTAGAATACATTGTTAATTCATTATATACATTTTGGTAAGTTGATATATAATTTATCTACAAATATATTAAGAAAGATAAATTCACTTACAAAAAAAGTAAATTATATGATAAAATTTAAACTATGTTGAACGAGCTCTCTATATAACATATCAATATATATAATCTAGTTCAAGCAAATTAACTACGGGCGTGTTCGGTAGAGATTAAAATCAATTAAAATTGAAAAATTAGTCATTATTGTTGACTTTTATTAGATGAATATGACTCAATAACGATTATATTTTCAATTTTAATTAAATTTTAAGCACGACCAAACACGCCCTAATGATAAGAAATTTATTTATTTTTCTCTCACAAGGACGTTTTAGCTATATAAAACTCATTTCAAATTATATATGGCTCAAAAAGTAGTCATGACATGTATATAATACTCAAAATTAGAAACAAGAGAGGTTAATAAGATTTTCTAAACGTATCATATATTGTCGTAAAGCCTAAAAGGTACTTATGATATTGTCTCTAATTTTAAATCAATAACAGGAAAATTCAACCAATAGCCAAGTAGTCAGGCTAAAGCGATGGCAATTTGAACTTTATTTGCATTCAATAAAATCTGAGAATTATTCTGGTGAAAAAATAAAAATTAAAGCCCAAAGTACCTATAAATATTACATTTAAGTGGATTGTTGTTTCCCAGGTAGTAGACCTTAATGGCTTGTCTGGTAAGATCTATACAGGCTCGCACTGGACATCATTCAAAGAAGAAAAAAAAAGCTAAAATTTTGTCTAAGATGCTGTCGAGTTCTATCTAGTATTACACACCAAACACGTCCCAAACGGATACAAGATTTGTAACTACAGAACACTTGAACAAAAATTGGTAGTTAGGCCAGCTATTTATCCAAGTGTTGCAGATCAATTTCCCAAGCTGATGCCAACTGCAGTAAGAGTTGATCTGGAGTTTCACCTTCCCAGTCCTCAGGTAGTTCAACCGATGAAGAAGCTTCGTGTAAATTCAACAAAATTTCTCTTTTTACTTCCATGGGAATGCCCAGCACATCAGGCCCATTTTCCATCACAATATCCACCAACTGAGATCAGGGAGTAAACACACTGTCAAAATATTGATCCCCACTTTACAATGCTCGTTAACTTATCTATAGGATGAGAGAAACCTCTTCAAGTTCACTTACACAGGAAGAATTAAACGTTGCATTCATGAACTCCCTATTTTTATTCATTCAGGACTAAGAAAATGCAAGTAAAAAGATCAATGACTTGAACTCGAGAATCGAATTTGCAGGCATAAACTTTTACACCCCAACAGGAATCTGGTCTCCAAACCAACCGATAAACACTAACAAAAATGAGAACAGTGCTGATGCCTCCTCCCTACGTACTGAAGTAATAATTTGTAGATTCATTTTAGAAAGTGAAAATGCAGTAAATAATTGCTCCTGTCATAGCAGCCAAAATATCAAGGTACTAATTATTAGAAAATATACCTGTTGAACCCAACATAAGCAGATGTCAAACAAGTTTGGCTCCAGGAAAAACTGTGCAACAGCATGCAAAACTTCAGTTGCCACGTCAAGCGATAGTTGATCAATTACAGGGCCTGATCTGTCCATGAGCTTTGCAAGCAATAGATCATCTCCAGCTAACAAAACTTCAGAAAAAGCTGAATCCATATCACCAACATGAAGTGCATCCATTGCATTGCTCCAAGAAGTCCAGGTGGGGTCACGTTCTTGCAATGTACCATCATTTTCTAATGCTTCAGATTCCATTTCTGGTATAGCTACTCGAGCACTTCGAGAATCTCCATTATCTTCGCCAGCAAACCGAATAGCTTCCAAAGTTGCTTCATCCTTTGAAGCTTGCCACACACTTCTAGCAGAAGGCCCCTCACCAAACCTAACAGGTCCAGTTCCTTTTTCCCAAGCTCTCCTGCCGCTGACCTGATCAGTCTCATTTTCCGATTTAGAGGACCTAACATCTACAGTACCGCCACCTGCCATTTTCCTTTGTCCGCTCTTACCATACGCATGGAAGTACGAAGCATCAGGTGTGTGTGTGTCAGATCTCCAAGATGGGCCCCTACCTCGCATGCCTGGCGAAATACCATCAAATGCTGCATATCTCTCCCCAAATGGAATACGCCCATCGTTACTACCTCTTTCTAACTTGGAAGTAGAGTAATCTGGGAAGCCATTATACTTTCCTAGATGCCTACTGGAAGAACCCTCGAATCCAGCCATAACACCTCCGGCTCTTCTACCTGTTGATATTGACAAATCTCGTGCCATGTCTTCAACAACTCTCTCGAGACCCCGTACTCTGTTCTCAAGGGTCATCATGTTATCATGAGACCCTCCCATAAAATCCTGAAATACAAGAGAAAAGTTAGGCAGAAATAACACAGGACTCATCTCCAGAATGCAAACAAACTAATCATACTTGCAACATATTCATGAGATGGGATTGTTGCCTCTCTAACTGTAACAATTGCCTCTGAATAGTCAACCAATTTCCTTTATTATTCATAAATCCCTCAGATTGACTAGGATTTTTAGAAAAATCTGCATGAATGCTGGATGACTCCCTCTGATTTGCATCACTCCTATCACCTATGTGCCTTTCCCTAAATATTGAACCAGAAGTTCCTCTCTCCAAGTTTTTGTAATTTATCTTAACGTGTTCATCATCTGGCTGGAATTTCCCCATCCTTCCCTTCGAGTCCATATCACTTGACTCTGACTCTTCCTCATTTGGCAGATCTGAAGTATTAAGACACCGACGAGGGACAATCACTTCTACAGGCAAATCATCTGAACCCCTCCTTTCAAGTTTCTGGAAGAACTCTGGGTTAAATTCTTTGTCAGTTAACGCTGGGGGCTTCTTCTTCAGTATCCCAACTGCCTTGTCTGAAATGCTGTTACCCTTATCTTTGGAAGTAGAATCGGCAGGCGAAGATCCACTGGATGAGTCCTTTGCAAATTTTTCACTTCTTCTCTCCTCAAGACTTGGATGATCATTCTTCTCAAGACGGTCAGCTGATGCAGAAGCTTTGCCATCTGACGGATTGACCAGCGTATGAGAGGGTTACATAACATTGCTAAGTAAAAAAAGTTCAAATGAAGAATATTTTGATCCCATTCCTACCATGAGACAAAGCCTTTTGGTCATCTGAAGATTCATCTCCTTTTCCTGCAACTTTCTTCCAAAGCAACAAAGCCTCTGTCATACTATCTCTGACAGGTTTTATCTGGTGAAAAAAATGATTTTTGTTGAGTGAGTTTTCAGCCATGATATGCAAACAAACTGGGCTTAACCGAAGACGACTCTTCATATATCCCAAAATTAATATTTAGTCTAATGGAAAATTACTAGCAATGGACATCCATATTCTGGATGAAAAGTAGCTCCGCCAAAGCAATATTCTAAGTAGAATAACTTTTCCATCATGGAAGAGATAAACATTGAATACAAAAAAGGTCAATAAACCTGCAACTTCTCTGTAAGTTATGTTGAAGATAAAATTTACATAAATAAAATTTGATCCCTTTCTGTTGTCCTAAGCTTTTAAATTAAGTGATTCAACATGGTATCAATAAAAGATTTTCTATGCATCAACAAGATGCACGTACACGAGGGTGGGTAACTGCAGTACAGTTTTCCTGGCATCATCTGCAGTATGTAAACACACCACTCAAATAATAGAGGACTCGTATTAGGTAGAGGTTGACATTAATTGTCAAACGAGAAAGCATAAAAGAGCTAACTGTGTGAAAGACAACAAAGACCAAGTTAACAATTATTTCTTCAGAAAATCCAACTGAGAAAATGGGAAAAAGAAGCGAAAGAGTGTTAGCTGGTCTCTGCTGCATTAAATAGCTCATAACTTCATAAACTTTTGGCATGTAAGTGTTAAATATTTTTCTGAGGAAAAAATTTAGGAGCTCACCTTGTCAAACCGGCAAGCCTCGAGCACATTCGACGTGGAAGCAGCTCTGTCTGCGATCAAGTTGCTTGAATGAAGTGCCAAAGCATTTAATGTATCGGCTGCAGCCTTTCGAGTAGCCCAATCTGAACTGCCAAGGCACTCATGAATACTTTGCAGTAAGGTTTCCAAACTTTGTGGTGCTATTGCGCCAACCTGAAATATGATATAGAAACTCAGATTGGTACTGTGAAATAAACGTCCTAATTCTTCTTTGCCAAGTGACATTGTTATACGACATGGCGACATGCACATCAGATAAATAACTTAATCTTCACATAGTCTGACCACATTGACTCATTCAAAGTGTCAAAACCATGCTCAGTCTGTCTATTACAAATACAGGAGGGTAGCACACCAAGTTATGGACTAATATACAAGGCAACATGGTCATAAAGGGAACCGTTGACAGTGGATGATGCATATTTCAGGTGACCATTTGACAATAAGAGAATTATTTCATATTTAATAGAAAGAGAACAGGACTCTGCTACATAGTATACACCATAACTTAACAAAGCATGAAATATGACCCAAAATCATATTTGACAAACTGAAAACCAAAGGACAGAAAAGGGGAAGAAATATGCTTGTGGTTTGATGTTCTTAAATTGATTCCCATCATTTAGCCATCCACTAGCATACCCAAATGTGTTGACTTTTTTACTTAAAAAATGTATATACTTCTTCCCTTACGAAGTCCTCTGAGACTTTCCATGTCATTTTTCATTGTAAACCATAAGGGTGATCTTACATAAATTTATCTCGACTATATTAATTCTTTAATCTTATATAGCCTTAATTCAACCACGGAGTTCAGCAAAGTTTGACAACACAATTGCAACATTGCACTCTTTCCCACAGCTTTTAAGCCATGGAATTGAAGTATCAAAATCAATATCACAACGAGTCAAGATTCCACTTTGTTTTCCTGCATTTTGGTATCACCAAAATATTTACAAAACACCAACTAATTCATCAAATGTGGATGAGTTCTGATATGATTAAACAATGATTCATACAATGGATCGCTCCCAACCTCATTATCATACATAGTTAAACAAGCACCATTAGTTCAGACTCTATAACGTTATAAACAAGAAGTCAAATTCCACAAACCTGGGATAATCTCGATAAAACTGGCAATAGTGAAGCCTTTGCCATGAAATTGGGGCTATTCAAGTATTTGCAGACCCTCGGGCAGAGCTTTTGAAACGCAGGCAAAGGTGGGTCGGAGGCGCATTCGATCATCTTAGCAATGCACATTGCCGCCCCACCTTGCGCAGTCTTGTTATTTTCACTCATAACCTCGAACAGTGGCTTCACGAATAGCGAAACAACTCCCTCACTGCCATTGCCGCCCTTCAAGTACAGCGTAGCAAGCGAACCAATAGCCTCGCGGCATGCTTCCCTGACCTGTGAATCTGAGTCCTTGAGCTTCTTCACAATGTGGGCAATTATTTTTGTCAAGTGGGTCGCGCAGGGATCCGAATGCGCGGTGCAGAGAACAGCAAGGAGACGGAGGCTCTCCTTCTTCACGGCGGGTTTCGAATCATTGCCAGCGTCATAGAGGCAGTTGAGGAGCATCGAAACACCGTCATTTGATAGTGAATTTATAATTTTTTCAAGGTCCTCCACGGCTATCTGGTGGGTGTCGCGGTCTGAAAGTTTAGATAGAGAGTTGATGATTTTCTGCTTCAATTCAACCATGGCTAAATGGGATGATAAAGAAGATGAAGATGAAGCAGAAGATGATCTTGAAGGGGTTGATTGGTTAGGGGATTTTGTGGGTTTTGAGGATCTCCGCGAACTCATTTTGAAATCTTGATAAAAGAATTAACCAACAATGTTACTGCGCAGAAACTTTCAAGAACTTTAAATTTAGAGAGATACTGAGCAATGTGAGGTCTTAAGAACGAATGTGAAGTGAAGAGGCTTTTGGGGTGGTGTGGGGGAGAGGAAGTGTGAGAATTAAGGTATGGAGATTACTGGTTATTGAAGAATGAAAGCAAAGTGAGAGCTTGGTTTGGTAGACATGGAAGTGAGATCTGCATTCATTGTTTTTGTTCTTCGAGATTTTTTTTTTGAAAAAAAAAAAAAGAAATTAAATTTGAAGAAATGGTTTACGCCTGGCCCATTCTTGTACTCATTTTCAACCACACATTTTTCAATAAAATAATATTTTCCATCACATCAATAACTTTTTTTTTTCAACCGTACATTTTCCATCAATCTACTATTTCAAAATACATTCTTTCAAAATAATGTGGTTCAAACTCATAGATCTTGATTATGAGTATTTATAATTTAATACATGAAGTATTGTTTGAGCCCCTTTTTTTTTCAAAATGCATTTTGAAATGATGTTTTGACTAAGAATGTGTGATTAAAAAATATATAAAATTTTGAATTCATGTTCTTGTTTGGAAATGATTAAAATCAGATTAAAATTGAAAAACTAGTCGTTATTGTTGACTTTTATTAGACGGGTGGGATCCAATAACAGCTATATTTTTAATTTTAATTGGATTAAAATCATTCACAAACAAACCCTAATATTATTTATCAAATAATTTGTGATTGAAAATAAAAGATAGAAAATATATAAAGTAATAGAAATAATTTGAGTCATGGTCAAACAGAAGCACATGCAAATTTCAATTTGCGAGTATCTTGGATCCCATTTCAATATCTATATGATCATTTACTAGTTAGTACTAACATTTTTCGTTAGTCGGTCACATGCCGTGAAATAAAAGTTTAAATTCATTGACTCAATCTGAGATAAAATTTTGAAATCAATTTCAACAGAAAGTGAGGTCTTTTTCTAATTGAACTAGTAGGCCATTGTATGACTAAGCAACCACATGGACATGGCATGATCAAGATAGTCCATCCATGATCCACCTAATATTCGTATACCATTACAGAAAACATTTAAGCCCTGTTTGAGCCACATTATTTTTTTCATTCTCATTCTTTTACTCATTTTTAACCACACATTCTTCAATAAAATAATATTTTCTATCACGTCAATAACTTTTCCTTCTTTTTCAACTACATATGCCCCATCTCATCAATAGTAAAAATGCATTCTTTTTTCAAAAAATGTGCACCAAACGAGAGCTTACTCCCTTCAACAAAAAAATGTTACCCTTTAGGCACGGTTCATAAAAAGGCGCTTGATATATTTGTTGAATATCATTTATTAACTATCTAGTTCCTTCTTGCTCTATTTTTCAAATGCAAATAAATATATCTATATTAAACAATTAGAAGAGCACACATAAGATATGGGACACATCTAGCAACAACAATGTTGGTGTTAGTGAAATTGAGTTTCAAATAGTAATAAAATGAAGTGATTGTACGATAAATTCAAATCGAAAGATCATTGAAAAACGATAGCTATTGTAAAAATCACTTATCTTTCACTAGAGAAAGAGGAAAAATAGGATTTCATCAATCAAGTGAATTATTTCAAAAATCACTGAATTTATACAATCGTCACGGACTGCTCATCGAATTTCATTCTGCTTCACAGTACTCACTCAACTTTGTCATTTATCTTTCCATCCACCACTGTCAAAAAATTCGGCGCTGATGTGGCGGATGGAATTCTTAGGTGGCGTCAAACGGCCGTTAAAAATTACAAATCAGCAAAAATCATTGTTTCATCACTCATCCAACTTACAAAATGTCACAATTTACTCACCGAACTTCAAAATACTTCCTAGTGGTCACTCATCTTTAAGAATTGCACTACATTAATTATTCGTCATATTTTATTCACTTCGTTGCTACTTTATTGTCCGAAAATTTCACGGATAATTAAAATCATCAAAAAAATTATAATTCAACCAAACCATCAACGCATGATTTAGAGAGATACTGAGCAATGTGAGGTCTTAAGAACGAATGTGAAGTGAAGAGGCTTTTGGGGTGGTGTGGGGGAGAGGAAGTGTGAGAATTAAGGTATGGAGATTACTGGTTATTGAAGAATGAAAGCAAAATGAGAGCTTGGTTTGGTAGACATGGAAGTGAGATCTGCATTCATTGTTTTTGTTCTTCGAGATTTTTTTTGAAAAAAAAAAAAGAAATTAAATTTGAAAAAATGGATTACGCCTGCCCATTCTTATACTCATTTTCAACCACACGTTTTTCAATAAAATAATATTTTTATTACATCAATAACTTTTCTTTTTTTTTTCAACCGCACATTTTCCATCGATCTACTATTTCAAAATACATTCTTCTAAAATAATGTGGTTCAAACTCACAGATCTTGATTATGAGTATTTAATTGATCCAATAACGACTATATTTTCAATTTTAATTGGATTAAAATCATTCACAAACAAGTTCTTAATATTATTTATCGAATAATTTGTGATTGAAAATAAGAGATAGAAAAATATTTAAAGTAATAGAAATAATTTGAGTCATGGTCAAACAGAAGCACATGCAAATTTCAATTTGTGAGTATCTTGGATCCCATTTCAATATCTATATGATCATTTACTAGTTAGTACTAACATTTTTCGTTAGTCGGTCACATGCCGTGAAATAAAAGTTTAAATTCATTGACTCAGGCACCGTTTGGTAACCATTATTCTAGAAAAAAATGCATTCTTTGTGTCAAATCATATCTTTTTTGTGGTTGAAAATGAAGGAAATGTTATTGATGTGATGGAAACTATTATTTTATTGATGAATGTGTGGTTGAAAATTAATAGAAGAATGCGAATGAAAAAAAGAATGAATACCAAACAGAGGCTCAATCTGAGATAAAATTTTGAAATCAATTTCAACAGAAAGTGAGGTCTTTTTTCTAATTGAACTAGTAGGCCATTGTATGACTAAGCAACCACATGGACATGGCATGATCAAGATAGTCCATCCATGATCCACCTAATATTCGTATACCAATACAGAAAACATTTAAGCCCTGTTTGAGCCACATTATTTTTTTCATTCTCATTCTTTTACTCATTTTTAATCACACATTCTTCAATAAAATAATATTTTCTATCACGTCAATAACTTTTCCTTCTTTTTCAACTACATATTCCCCATCTCATCAATAGTAAAAATGCATTCTTTTTTTAAAAAATATGCACCAAACGAGAGCTTACTCCCTTCAACAAAAAAATGTTACCCTTTAGGCACGGTTCATAAAAAGGCGCTTGATATATTTGTTGAATATCATTTATTAACTATCTAGTTTCTTCTTGCTCTATTTTTCAAATGCAAATAAATATATCTATATTAAACAATTAGAAGAGCACACATAAGATATGGGACACATCTAGCAACAACAATGTTGGTGTTAGTGAAATTGAGTTTCGAATAGTAAGAAAATGAAGTGATTGTACGATAAATTCAAATCGAAAGATCATTGAAAAACGATAGCTATTGTAAAAATCACTTATCTTTCACTAGAGAAAGAGGAAAAATACGATTTCATCAATCGAGTGAATTATTTCAAAAATCACTGAATTTATACAATCGTCACGGATTGCTCATCGAATTTCATTCTGCTTCACAGTACTCACTCAACTTTGTCATTTACCTTTCCATCCACCACTGTCAAAAAATTCGGCGCTGATGTGGCGGATGGAATTCCTAGGTGGCGTCGAACGGCCGTTAAAAATTACAAATCAGCAAAAATCATTGTTTCATCACTCATCCAACTTACAAAATGTCACAATTTACTCATCGAACTTCAAAATACTTCCCAGTGGTCACTCATCTTTAAGAATTGCACTACATCAATTATTCGTCATATTTTATTCACTTCGTTGCTACTTTATTGTCCGAAAATTTCACGGATAATTAAAATCATCAAAAAAATTATAATTCAACCAAACCATCAACGCATGAAAATCACCATATGATCAATTGAATACAATTAGAAGTAAAATCGGTGAAATATAGACAAAATAATTTCACAAATCAAGTTAAGTTTCCGATTTTCAGCTTTAGATTGAAACCTATTTTTCACACAATAAACGTTAAAATTATAAAAGTGATATTTCTAAAGAATAATTGAGGACGCTTTATTGGATTTTAAAAAAGTTTATGAG